TCATTTCTGTTCTTGAAATACCTTTGAATGGGTTTCTTGAAAAACCTTTGGACTGGTTTCTTGAAATACCTTTGAATGGGTTTCTTGAAAAACCTTTGGACTGGTTTCTTGAAATACCTTTGAATGGGTTTCTTGAAAAACCTTTGGACTGGTTTCTTGAAATACCTTTGGACTGGTTTCTTGGTCTACCTTTGGACTGGTTTCTTGGTCTACCTTTGGACAAGTTTCTTGATCTACCTTTGGACAAGTTTCTTGATCTACCTTTGGACTGGATTCTTGGTCTACCTTTGGACAAGTTTCTTGATATATCTTTGGGCTGGTTTCTTGTAATACCTTTGGACAGGTTTCTTGGTCTATCTTTGGACTGATTTCTTGGTCTACCTTTGGGCTGGTTTCTTGGTCTACNTTTAGTCCTGGTTTTGATCTGGTTTTGTCCTTGTGTTGAACTTGTTCTGATCTGGTTTTGAGCAGGTTTTGACCTGATTTAGTCCTGGTTTTGATCTGGTTTTGTCCTTGTGTTGAACTGGTTCTGATCTGGTTTTGAGCAGGTTTTGACCTGGCTTCAACCTTGTATTGAATTGGTTTTGACCTGGTTTAGTCCTAGTTTTGACCTGTTTTTTTCCTTGTTTTGAACTTGTTCTGATCTGGATTTGAGCAGGTTTTGACCTGGTTTAGTTCTGGTTTTGACCTGGCTTTGGCCTTGTATTGAACTGGTTTTGACCTGGTTTTGGCCTAGTTTCAAACAGATTTTGGCCTGACTTGGATCTAATTTTGACCTGGTTTTAGCCAGGTTAGGCCTGATTAAGCCTTGTCTAAATGTCTGAATGTTGGGTTCTGTGCAGCAGATTCTGGTTCGGGTGGGTTCAGTTTCAGGACTCCTTAAATGTAAGTCAGTCATAGAAACCAGCAGAATGACATCTGAAGAATAAAAGCCTTTTTTTGTCTGGATGTTCTGACTTTTTGTATTGAATCCTGTTCGGACAGCAGCTGCAGTCCTTTACAGCAACATTTCATGAAGAGTATGTGCTGGACCTGTGATCCTGTGAGGTTCAGTTTTCTGTCAGCATTCACAAACAAACTCCAGTGTTTCAGCCTCTTCTGTACTTTTTCAGCATCCGTAAATCGAACTTCATTCAGAAATTCTGAGATTCGGTTTATCGATGTTTTTGTCTCCATTCTGTCTGTTTTACACTGAAACACTCCAAATATCTGCCAGATGGACTGAGAGTCTGTGAGCGAGCAGACAAAGGTCACATGTCAGAGAATGTGTGTGTGTGTGTGTGTGTGAGAGCTCACATCATGACGCAGTGTTCAGAACAAAGCAGGTGTCGATGGTTTCAGTCTCAGCTGGGAGCTACAACTCAGAGGTCAAGGGTCACTTTCTCCATTGCTTCATTACCAGATTTCTCCTTGTTTTTCATTTCTGGTTTTTGTGATTGTTTTGGACTGGTTTCTTGAAATACCTTTGAATGGGTTTCTTGAAAAACCTTTGGACTGGTTTCTTGAAATACCTTTGAATGGGTTTCTTGAAAAACCTTTGGACT